TCCCTCCCTCTCCTCGTTTCTCCCCCCCCCCCCCCCAGTGGCCCTCAGGGCCCTCACACAGCCCCAGGGGAGACCAGGCCTTTTCTGAGGGCCTCCTGGGGGGTGGGGCTGGGCAGTGTGAGAACCCCCACTCACCCAAAATGTTGGGGACCACCCTCCCTTTTCTCTGGGGGTCCCCTTCGTCCCATGCTGGGGTGTGTGTGCACAGTAGGGACAGGGAGAGGGAGTGAGGCAGAAACCCAGAGAGAGAGAGACAGACAGACAGACAGCAGGGAGCTGGAGGGTGGCAGAGATGGGCAGACAGGGAGACACAGAGACATGGAGACAGAAGAGCGAGAGAGCGAGAGAGAGAGACAGAGGCAGGGTCACAGCCACAGAGCCACCTACCCTGGGACAGACAGGACAGAGGGAGACAGAGACAGGTCTAGGGGAGGGACGGGGGCAGACTGAGGCTCAGTCCTGCGGTGGCACAGACCCTCCCCCGCCCCGCCCCCCCGGGGCCCTCACCCCTACTCACTCGCTGATGCAGTGGGCAGCCGTGAGCACCCACTGGGGGTCCACCAGGACGCCCCCGCACTCGAAGCGGTTGTAGTGGTACAGGGCCGCCTGCCAGGGCTGGGCATGCTTGCACTCCCAGCCTCCCACGATGCGGGACTGGGCGAGGGGCACGGCGCCTGCGGGGGTGGGGTGGGGTGGGGGGTGCAGGGTCAGGGCGGAGCGGGGTGGCCGCGGGGCGGGGAGGGGAGAGGAAGCGCCGAGGACATGGGCAGGAGGTGCTGGGAACGGCCCAGGATCCTGCAGGCTCCGGGGCTGCGGGCGGGTGGACAGCTGGGCCTGGGCGGGGAGAGGTTCTGCAGAGAGCAGAGCTGACCCCATCTGGTGCGGGCTGGGCTTTTCGGGGCGATGGGGGTGGGGGGGGTGGGTCTCGGGCTGTAGGACCAGAAGCTGGGGGTTTGGAGGGGGGAAACCCAGGCGGAAGGCCCCAGGAGGGTGGCTCAGAGCTGGGCGGAAGGGTCTGAGGGTGGAGCGGCTTCCAGGCTGGTGAAATGATTAGGGATGCATTTTTTTTTTGGGGGGGTGTAGGAGGTTGGGCTTTTGGGGCTTCTGGAGAGGGCATGATTTTGGGGGATCAGGTCTGAGTGGCCAAGAAGAAGCACCTGGGGAAGGTGGGGGTGAGTGGGGTTCCTGGTTGAGAGAATTCGGGGTTCTGGGCCCAAGAGTGGCACACGGGGTCTGGCTGGGAGGGGGCTCCTGTATAGGGTTTGTGGTCTGGTGACCGGGGCATAGCGTTCTAAGAGTGTGTGTGTGTGTGTGTGTGTGTGAGCCCCTTGGACAGGATCAGGGTCAGGACTGGGCTCAAAAGGAGGGAGATGGTCATTCTGGGAAGGGGCGAGTCTGTGGAGCTGGTCACAGTCTGGGGGCCCTGCAGGGGGAGGGATGCCAGGACAGGAATGGAGACAGAGCATAGGGGGCCAAGCAGCTATGGGAATGCAGGGAGGACCCACGGGATGTGGGGTTCTTGGGGGAGGGAGGGGATGGGACAACTGGGCTGGGAAAGCATATGGGATCCTGGGGAGGGGGGTTGTCCCGGAAAGACAGAGCTGGGCAGAGGGTGCAGGGGTTGCAAGGGGGCGGGAAGGCTCAGCTGGAGGGAGGACGGAGCGGCCACAGGGAAGAAACCGGGGTTGGGGGTGCTGGGTGCGGGTCTCGGGGTGCAGCGTGAGTGAACAAAGGGCCAGTCAGAAGACCCCTGTCGGAGGTGTCTGATAGCATCTGGGGGGTCCTGGGAGGATTGGGGGGCACCCAGTGACCTGCTTGAGAGCTGGCAGCTGGAGGGGTAGGATATGGGGACCCGGGAGCCAGACCATGGGGCCACCGAGCTCTGGAGGGGCGAGAGGGGGTGATCAGGGTGCCTGGGTCTGCTGGGATTGGGTGGGGTGGTCCTTGGAAGAGTTGGTGTCCCCCACAGAGCAAGACAGGGATGGCCCAGGATGCCTCCACGGTAGAGGGGCTGGGGGCGGGATCAGAGTGGGGAAGAGCAGAAAGTCCTGGGAGTTGCCCTAACCGGTGTGGCTCAGTGGATAGAGCGTCAGCCTGCGGACTCAAGGGTCCCAGGTTCGATTCCGGTCAAGGGCATGTACCTTGGCTGCGGGCACATCCCCAGTAGGGGATGTGCAGGAGGCAGCTGATCCATGTTTCTCTCTCATTGATGTTTCTAACTCTCTCCCTCTCCCTTCCTCTCTGTAAAAAAAAACAAATCAATAAAATATATATATTAAAAAAAAAGTCCTGGGGGTTCCTGGGAGGCGAGGGGCGAGGACTGGAAAAGGTGAGGAGGAGGAGGAGGAGAGGCTGGGAGAGAGAGGAAGGAGCCTGGGGGTCTGGTCGGGCTGGAGGGGTGCAGGCTGGGGAGCTGGGTGGGAGGGAAAGGACTCCCAGCCCTCCCACCCCTTCCCGGCGGGCTTACCAGTGCCGGCCAGGCACAGAGCAAGGCCCAGGACCAGGAACCACATGGTGGCAGCGGTGTCTGGGGGCAGGCAGGCAGGTGCTGAGCCAGGAGGGCCTCCCCCTGGGAGCCTTTAAAAGCCCCTAGGGCCCCGCCCCTGCCCTGCTGGCACTCCGGTGCCGGCCACCTCCCCCCTCCCTGCCCGCAGAGGGCCGGGAGAATGAGCAGCTGCTGCTCACAGGGCCTGCCTCCATCGCGATTGCGATTGCATGCTGGGAGGGAGCCTTGGCTGGGGGTTGGGGGTGGGGGGTGGGGTGGGGAGGGCGGGGTTGGCTCCCGGGGCCTTGCTCTTGGGGACGGAGCCAGTGAGGATGTCATAGGCAGCAGGACAGACCCGGGCAGAACAAGGACGATGCGCCAGGGACAGAAGGTCACAGGGCCGAAAGCCCGGGCGCCCACCTGACGCCCCACTTCCCGGGTGTAAACTTTCCTCCCTGATAGCATTGCTGGCTGGTGCTGCAGTTTCGACCCCTCACCTGGCCTCCCCCGGGGATAACCACGTCTAGGCCTCCCTCGGTTGTGTCTCAGCTCCAGGCCCAGCATAGCGGCCACACCAGAGAAGGGAGGCCATGGCTGCCCTGAGTCAGGACCAGCTGCCATAACTAATGACTCTTGCCCCCGGGGCCAGCCAATCAGTGGAGACCGGGACCCTGAAAGGACACACCTGGGAGACGGACAGACGCCTGTTCTGCTGAAACCCTCCCCCGAGGCCTCCCCCTGAGACCGCCCACCTGCAGGAGGGAGAGAACAGCCCTTAGGACGGAGGGAGGGCCTCCCTCTGAGGCCCACACCTGCGCCTTCCCCTCCCCCCCATAAGCAGGTGTCTGTGGCTTAGTGGTTAGGAGACCTAACCTCTAAGGGACCGATCCCAGGAAGCTTGCACCCAGGGGAGCAGTGGGCAGCAGCAGCTCGTCCCAGGGCCCCTTTTTCTCTTTAAAAAAAAAAAATTTATTTTTTACAGAGAGGAAGGGAAAAGGATACAGAGCTTGAAACATCGATGAGCGAAACATCGATCAGCTGCCTCTTGCACACCCCCTACTGGGGATGTGCCTGCAACCAAGGTACATGCCTTTGACTGGAATTGAACCTGGGATCCTTCAGTCCGCAGGCAAATGCTCCATCCACTGAGCCACACCGGTGAGGGCTTCTCGTACTTCTTAGTGAGCCAGAGCAGCCCAGCCTGGGCTTCTACTATGCTAAGCCCTTGGTTGTTTTGAGAAGGGTGTTTGCTGTGGCCAATCCATTCATTTTTTTTTAAAATATATATTTTATTTTTTACAGAAAAAAAGAGAGGGGGAGATAGAGAGTTAGAAACATCGATGAGAGAGAATCATCGGTCAGCTGCCTCCTGCACCCCCGCGACTGGGAATGTGGCCGCAAACGTACTTATTCTTGACCATCTAGTGTGTGTGGGGTCCCGGCCGTGGGTCAGAGACAGAGAGTATAATATAATACTTCCCCAGGGCCAGGTCCTGGGGGAATCGGCTCCTGTGAATTTCCCTCTTGAACCCTCTGGCTGAAGCCATAGGAGGAGGGAGACGAAGGCTGAGCCTTTTTTTTTTTCCCTCAAGGCCACACAGCGGATCTCACGTGTGGATGGCACAGAGCCCTGCCTCAGGCCACTTCTCCTCACCCAGGGGTCCATGCGCATTGGGTCTGGGGGCCCCGTCCCGTCTGTGGTCCCCTCATCCCCTTCATCCCCAGAAGAAAGTCACAGAAACTTCCCCAGAGAAACTGGCATCGAACATCAGAGCAGATGAGCCATGGGGCCGTGGACAAATGGGGTTTTGGGGGTGGGGGTGGGGGTGGCTGATTCTGTCCCAGGTCAGGATGGAGCGGCCATGGCGTGTCTGCTCAGTCAGAGACACGGGGGGTGGGGGGTGGGGGGAGGGGGGTGAGGGTGAGGGGAGGGGGTAGGGATGGGAGGCCCCAGTCAGTCAGTTCCTCCGCATGGTGTCCCGGATCCAGTCCATGTATCGGCACACTTTGGTGTAGACCCCAGGCTTGGTGGTGGTGTCGCAGGGGACGTCACCCCAGGACACGATGCCCTGCAGGATGCCCCTGCAGACCAGGGGTCCCCCCGAGTCCCCCTGTGGGGAGAAAGGGAAGCTGGGGGGGGGCGCGAAGCTTCGGCTCTGGGGAGTGTTCCCAGCCCCGTCCTAACCACCCTTCACCATCCCCCACATCGAGATCCACCCCCCCCCCCCCTAACCATCTTCCCTCGATACCACCCAGGTGAACCCAAACCAGCCCCACCCCAAGGCGACCCTACTCAGCCAACCCGCGTCCAGCCCTCACCCGAATCCACCCCAACCCCTAGTCCCGTGGTCGGCAAACTGCGGCTCGCAGGCCACACGCGGCTCTTTGGCCCCTCGAGTGCGGCTCTTCCACAAAACACCACGGCCTGGGCGAGTGTCTATGTTGAAGAAGTGGCGTTAGGAGAAGTTTTACGTTTAAACCATCTGGCTCTCCTAAGAAATGTCCACCGTCGCCCTGTTGCTATTTGGCTGTGTGGACTCCTGAGTTTGCCGACCGCTGCCCTAGCTCTTCCCCATTCCAAACAGGAGAGCAGGCCCACGCCCAGTGTCCTGCCCTTTGCCTCCTACCTCCCATGCCCATGCCTATGCCCCCCAAACCCACCACCCGTGTCTCCCACTCCCATCTCACCCCCATTCTAACTGCCCTTCCTTCTCCACCCCAGACCTACCCCTGGCCTCTTCTCTGACCCCCCCCCCCCCCTCTGCAAACAAGCAAAATGTGACCCTGGCCCCAATCCCAAATGGTGGCCCGGGCTGGGGCCCACGCTGACCTCGCAGGAGTCGGTGCCTCCGCCTTCCACGCCCGCACACACCATGGTGTCCATGAGGTGCCCAGGGTAGTCCTTGCTGCAAGATGCGTCCGAGATGATGCTGATGTTGGCGCAGTGCAGGGTATTCGGGAGGTTCACTGCGGAGAGAAGACAGGGGGCCTTGGGCTGAATCCACACATTTTTTCTTTCCTTTCTTTAAAAAAAAAAAAAAAATATATATATATATATATATATATATATATATATATATATATATATATATATATTGATTTTTACAGAGAGGAAGGGAGAGGAGAGGGTTAGAGAGTTAGAAACGTCGACGAGAGAGAAACATCGATCAACTGCCTCCTGCACACGCCCCACTGGGGATGTGCGCGCAACCCAGGTACATGCCCTTGACCGGAATCGAACCCGGGACCTTTCAGTCCGCAGGCTGAGGCTCTATCCACTGAACCACACTGGATTTCGGCAAATCCACACATTTTTCCAGGCCCTGGTGGTCCTCTGCGCCCAAGAGCCTGCCCTGCCCTGGAGGACAGGGTCCCGGAGGTCTGGGTCCTCGGAGGAGGCCTGACCCCCCCCCCCCCCCCCCCCTCGGCTCCATCCCCACACGCACCTTGGGACTCCGGGCTCCCCGTGGCCTCGGACTCGTAGCCGGACACCAGGCCCCAGCCGGACACCACGCAGGGGTCGCCGGGCCGCGGGCAGCGCGCGGGCAGGGTCGCGGGCCGCACGCGGGGGGACACGCGCGCCGGCCGCGCCAGGCGCAGCAGCATGAGGTCGTTCACGTGCGTGCGCGCCACGTAGCCCGGGTGCGGGATGATGCGGACCACGGTGCGCAGCTGCTCCGTGCCGTCGCGCTTGCGCAGGTTGTGCTCGCCCAGGTGCACTCGCATGTGGCTGTGCGGGCGAGTGGTTAGGGTGCGGGGTGCGGGGAGGAGTAGACAGAAACATAAAAGAGCGGGCAACCTGGGGCCCCGGACCCCTTTGCAATCTAGATATCCTATTGCCCTCCCCCCTAACGCCCCCTAAAGCCCTCAAGCCCCCTTTGGGACCCAGATACCCTATTGCCCTCCCCCTAAAGCTCCAAAGCCAATCGTTCCAGCCCCTTCCCGCCCCCCTTCTCCTAAGGGCACCCCTATTTCCTTCCCACAAAGCATGCACTGGCCTCAGGCTCCAGCTCGCTCTTCTGCAGAGTCAGGATTCTGAGACCCCCTGCCTAGACCCTTCCCCTCACCATGGCCCCGGGGACCCCGAGCCGTGCCTCCTTCCTACCGGGTTTGGCAGTGAGCTGCGGACAGCACCCAGTACGGGGAGACGAGGGAGGCCCCGCAGTTAAAGCGTGCGCGGTCGAAGAGGGCCACCTGCCAGGGCTGGGAGTGGGGCGCGCACTCCTGCCCCTTCAGCACCTTGCCGCTGCTGTTGTCCTGAGCTGCGGGGAGAGGAGGGGGTGCGTGTGTGTCAGAGGCCTTATCTTTTCTTTTTAAAAATTATAGCCCTCACGGGTTTGGCTCAGTGGGTAGAGCACAGGCCTGCGGACAAAAGGGTCCCAGGTTCGTATCAGTCAAGGGCATGCACCTTGGTGGCAGGCACTTCCCCAGTGGGGGGTGTGCAAGAGGTGGCTGATCGATGATTCTCTTTCATCAGTGTTTTTAACTCTCTATCTCTCTCCCTTCCTCTCTGTAAAAATCAATAAAATATATTTAAAAAAATATTTTCCCTAACCAGTTTGGCTCAGTGGATAGAGCGTCGGCCTGCAAACTTGAGTCCCAGGTTCGATTCCGGTCAAGGGCATGTACCTTGGTTGCGGGCACATCCCCAGTGGGGGGTGTGCAGGAGGCAGCTGATCGATGATTCTCTCTTATCGATGTTTCTAACTTTCTATCCCTCTCCCTTCCTCTTTGAAACCAATAAAAAATATTTTAAAAATATATTTTATTGATTTTTTCCAGAGAGGAAGGGAGAGGGAGAGATAAAGACATCAAAGATGAGAGAGAATCAGGGATTGGCTGCCTCCTGCATGCCCCACGCTGAGGATGAAGCCTGCAACCCAGGCCTGTGCCCCCGCCGGAAATAGAACCGTGGCCTTCTGGTTCCTAGGTGGATGCTCAGCCACAGAGCCACGCCAACTGGGTAGTGTCAGAGTTATTTTTCTTGCACCCTGCCCTCACTGTGTGTTTTTCACCTGTGGCCCCCCCCCCCCCCCCATGTTATTGATTTGTAAGCATGGCCTTCTGTCTAGTGCAGTGGTCGGCAAACTGTGGCTCTCGAGCCGCATGCGGCTCTGTGGCCCTTGAGTGTGGCTCTTCCACAAAATACCACGTGCCCTAATTAAGTTAATAACAAAGTACCTCCCTATATATTGTGGTTTACGTTTAAAAAAACGTGGCTCTCTCAAGACCTTGCAGTCGTTGTCCTGTTGATGTTTGGCTTTGTGGATTCACGACTTTGCCGGCCACTGGGCTACCGTTTACAACTTCTGCTGATCTCCTCCAGAACTGTGCCCCCTGTCCCTGGTCCCCACCCAAAGGCCCCTGGGAGAGAGAGACGTCGGTGGGAGAGGAACATCGATCGGCTGCCGCCTGCACACCCCCTACCGGGGATGTGCCCGCAACCAAGGTACATGCCCTTGACCGGAATCGAACCCGGGACCCTTGAGTCCGCAGGTCAGTGCTCTAGGGACGGGGCCAGAGGACGAGACTCCCTCTGTCCCTGGGTGTGGAGAAGGGGCCGTGGATACCGTGAGCGGGCAGGTGGCCATTTGGAACCAGCCATCATTTGTTCAAGGTCGTTGAGCTGTCACAGACGTCAAGCGGATGCAGCCACTCAATACGTGTGACGCGCAGTCTTGGCTGCGGAGCCCGGGCATCTCAGCCAAATGCATTGTGTCATCCATAGAAGGACACGGCAAGACCTCACAAGGTCACGGGCGAGGGAGCGGGCGCCCGGGGCCTTCCGCACGTGAGAGCTGACGCGGACAGCACCGGAAGCTGAAACTCACGTGCACTGACATGAGGTGCAGCCTCGAGAGTCACAGCACAGACCCAGGGGGCTTGGCTCAGTGGAGGGAGCGTCGGCTGTCAGACTTAAAGGCCCGTGGGTTTGTTTCTGGCCAAGGGCATGCGCGCCTCGGTTTGCAGACTCGATCCCCAGCCCCATAGGGGCACGTGCGGGAGGCAACCAATAGATGTGTCTCTCTCACATCGGTGTTTCTCTCTCTGTCTCTTCCCCCACCCCTTCCACTCTCTCTCTAAAAAAAATCATTGGAGCCCTAGCCGGCTTGGCTCAGTGGATAGAGCCGACGGCCTGCGGACTCAAGAGTCTCAGGTTCGATTCCGGTCAAGGGCATGTACATTGGTTGCGGGCACATCCCCAGTAGGGGGTGTGCAGGAGGCAGCTGGTCGATGTTCCTCTCTCATTGGTGTTTCTAACTCTCTATCCCTCTCCCTTCCTCTCTGTAAAAATGCAATAAAAGATATTTTAAAAAAGTCACTGGAGCCTGGCCAGCATGACTCAGTGGTCGAGCGTTGACCTATGAACCAGGAGGTGTTAGTTTGACTCGAGGTCAGGGCACAGGCCTGGGTTGCCGGCTTGATTCCCCTGTGTGGGGTGTGCAGGAGGCAGCCAGCCCATCCATGATTCTCTCTCATCATGGATGTTTCTATCTCTCTCTTCTTCTCCCTTCCTTTCAAAAATAAATAAAAATATAGTAAAAAAAAAAAATCAATGGAAAAATGTCCTTGGGTGGATTAAGAACCACCACAAAATAATAATAAATAAATCTTAAAAAAAAAATTCTCAGCACAGGGGTTCCTATGTGTGTAGGAATGCAGACCGTTAAGATGTGGGCGTGTGTGCCAGCATGTGCGCGCGCGCGCACACACACACACACACACACACACACACACACACACACTAGTCTATAGCAGTGGTCGGCAAACTGAGGCTTGCGAGCCACAGGTGGCTCTTTGTCCCCTTGAGTGTGGCTCTTCCACAAAACACCACGTGCGGGCGCGCACGTACAGTGCGATTGAAACACTTCGTGGCCCATGCGCAGAAGTCGGTTTTTGGCCTGGGCGAATCTATTCTGGAGTGGCTCTAACGCCGAGCCACACTCCAGGGGCCAAAGAGCCGCCTGTGGCTCTGGAGCCCCGGTTTGCCGCCCTGCCCCTGGTCTATAGGGTCATGGTTAAATCCGGAGTGATAGAGTTACACCCCCAGCCTCCCGCCCCGCATCCAAACATATTATCTGTGAGGCTCTGAGCGAATGATTGGACTCTTCTGTGCCTCTGTTTCCTCAGCTGTAAGATGGGATTGTTTAAGGGTTCGATAGGGGTGTGTGTATGTGTGTGTGTGTGTGTGTGTGATGCCTGACGTACTGTGACTGCTTTTTAAAAAATATATATATTTTATTGATTTTTTTAGAGAGAGGAAGGGAGAGAGATAGAGAGCTAGAAACATCAATGAGAGAGAAACACCAACCAGCTGCCTCTTGCACACCCCCCACCGGGGATGTGTCCGCAACCAATGTACATGCCCTTGACCGGAATCGAACCTGGGACCTTTCAGTCCGCAGACTGACGCTCTATCCACTGAGCCAAACCGATTTGGCTACTGTGACTGCTTAATAAATGTTAGTTATTTTAAACAAGGGGTTCATCGCTGAAACCTGTTTGGCTCAGTGGATAGGGTGTCGGCCTGTGGACCGAAAGGTCCCGGGTTCAATTCCGGTCAAGGGCATGTACCTTGGTTGCAGGCACATCCCCGGTACGGAGTGTGCAGGAGGCAGCTAATCGATGTTTCTCTCTCATCGATGTTTCTAACTCTCTATCCCTCTCTGTAAAAAAATCAATAAAATATATTTAATGAAATAAATAAACCAGGGGTTCAGAGATGCATTCCTGCAGACAGAACGTGTGGACGCCAGATAAGTCAGGTGTATGACCAGGCCCAGGTCAAGATAACCCAGGTCAACACGGTGACTCCTCCCCAAGCCACTCTGTGGAGGCCCAGAGGGCCAACACCAGGACCCCTGGACGGGGTCCTGTCTGGAGGCAGGTCTGGCCACTCAACGTCAAGGACATCGATGTAGCTGGAGACACGGGCCACCAGAATGGGATCTATGTGTCCACGTCTAGGTCAGCCTCCAGGTCGGCTGCTTGGTGTCCAACTTGAACCTGAACCAAGGAAAAGTTCTGGAGGTACAAGGGGGAGCTGTCGCCGAAACCGGGTTGGCTCAGTGGATAGAGCATTGGCCTGCGGACTGAAAGGTCCCGAGTTCGATTCCGGTCAAGGGCATGTACCTTGGTTGCGGGCACATCCCCCGTAGGGGGTGTGCAAGAGGCAGCTGATGGATGATTCTCTCTCATCGATGTTTCTAACTCTCTATCCCTCTCTCTTCCTCTCTGTAAAAAAATCAATAAAATATGCTTTAAAAAAACAAACAAAAAAAGAGTGGCCCAGGGGAGGGTCTGGGAGAGACACTCATCCCAGGTGTGGGGACCAGGCTCACCCACGTGAGCAGGGTCTTGCACTCCCCCTCCCTCCAACAGCTCCATGCACAGGGATGATTCAGGGTCCCGGGACCCTGACCCCTCCTACCCTGGGCACCATGCTTATGCACCTTCAAGGTCACAGCCAGACACACGACGCCACCCGCCCTGGGGCATGCGTGCACAGCCAAGATCAGATGCCCATGCTCTGCCCTCTAAGGGTTGGGCGCTGGGCCAGGAGCCCTGGCAAGGCGGGGAGAACTGGGATGAGGTGGACATGGGACGGGACCGGGGAAGGGTGGTCCGCCCTCCGGAGAAGGGCAGAGGGCGGAACAGCTGGGCACCGAGGCCGCCCCAGGCCGGTCCCAGCCGGAGGAGGCGGGGAGCAGAGAGCACGGACAGGGCCCGAGGGGATGCTGGCAGTGGGGGGGGGGGAGGGGGTGAGGGGAGGCTGGAGGGGCCACCCTGGGGCGAGAGGGTCATGTGTGTGTGCCAGTTCATGGAAGTCCATCCTGGCCTCCCTCGGGGCGGAGGCATCGGGTTACAGCGAAGCCCTTCACGAGTGGTAGACGGTGCGTCAGGCGGTCAGGCGGTCAGGCGCTCTCCTGCCGCCCGCAGGGGGTCACCTTGACCTCCAGGCTGCCCCTCTCTGAGTCCCAGCCCCGTCATCTGCCCAAGGAGGCCCGGGGCCCACCCCAGGGGGATGCTGCCTGGGTCAGAGGGCCCTCCCTCGCATTCCGACAGGCCCTCCTAGTGCCTTCACCTCTGTTGTTCTCCCTGGGGAAACCTGTCACTAAGGGATTTCCCCCCCTCTCCCCAGAACTGAATCCCCCGGGTCTCTGCCACCCCAGGGCGGTGTGTCTGTGGTCATGGGCAGCGAGAGGCCCCAGGAGGCATGGGGACTCCTCAGTGGTCCCTCCCCGCCTTCCTCTCACCCCTCCCACCTCCCCCCAGCGCCTGACAGCTGTCAGATGGAGTGAGGACTCAAAGATATCATCGGCAGGTGGCTGAGGTGGGGCAGGGGAGAGGGGGGGAACCGACGGACCATCTGACTGGTCCGCTGGTTTCTGGGTAAAGGAGGGCCTGGCAGGTTGCAGGGCCCGGAGACGCGCTCGGGATGGGGGCGTTCGGGGAGCACCCCACTCCCACCGACCCCAGCACCTTCCCCGGGTGGGGCCCACCTCCTCACCTGCGGACATCAGCAGGAAGGAAAAGACGAGAAGCCACATCGTGGAGGAGGGGCCCGGGCTCGGCTGATGTCTGGGGAGGAGGAGAGAGGGAACCGGGGTGAGGCTGGCTCCTCCTGTCCCCCATCGGGGACCCCTCAGGACACAGACGAATCCCCCTGCTGCTTAACAAACGTCTTCTCGCCCTGGCCGGTTTGGCTCAGTGGATAGAGCATTGGCCTGCGGTCTGAAAGGTCCCAGGTTCGATTCCGGTCAGGGGTATGTATGTACCTTGGTTGCAAGCACATCCCCAGTGGGGGGTGTGCAGGAGGCAGCTGACAGATGTTTCTCTCATCGATGTTTCTAACTTCCTATCCCTCTCCCTTCATCTCTGTAAAAAAATCAATAAAATATATTAAAAAAGAATAAAGAGCCCTAGCTGGTTTGGCTCAATGGATAGAGCGTTGGCCTGGGGACGTAAGGGTCCCAGGTTCGATTCTGGCCAAGGGCACATGCCTGGGTTTCGGGCTTGATCCCCAGTGGAGGCCATGCAAGAGGCAGCCAATCATTGATGTTTCTATCTCTCCCTCTCCCTTCCTCTCTAAAATCAATAAAATATATTTAAAAAAAAAGAAAAAAGAAAAAAAAGAAACGTCTTCTCACCATCCTCACTCCCCACCCCCATCCCCAGCCTGCTCTTCCCCGGGTATCCCATCTGCCATGGCTCTGCCATCCCTCCAGGCACTGGGATCGACGCCCAGGTGCCCGCACAGCCGGGCAGAGGCGACCGGCCCCCTGGATCTCTCTCTCCCCATCTCCAAGGTCCCGGCTCAGGACACATCCTCTCCCTGGACCCTGTGCCAGGGTCCTCCCCACCCTCCCCGAGTCCGTGTCTCCACTCAGGTTCCCGGCCTAGACCACCCCACAGGGTCTCTCTGCACCTGGGCTTGGCCACGCCCCATTCCTCCTGGCAAGAATCTTCTTTAAAAAAAATACATATATTTTATTGATTTTTTACAGAGAGGAAGAGAGAGGGACAGAGAGTTAGAAACATCGGTGAGAGAGAATCATTGACCAGCCACCTCCTGCACACCTCCTACTGGGGATGCGCCCGCAACCAAGGTACATGCCCTTGACTGGGATCGAACCTGGGACCTTTCAGTCCACAGACTGATTCTCTATCAAATGAGCCAAACCGGTTTCGGCTACAAGTGCTTTCAGGAACATCCTCCAGATTCACTCCAGCCCCCTCCCTGCACCCCCATTCCCCATCCCCCTCCCCCCATTCTCCCACCCCCAGCTCCTTCTTACATTGGTTCAAGGTCAACGCAGACCACCAGTGAAGGACACATGGGCCTATACAGGTGACCTTGACACTAGACTCCCACAGGGTGGTCCCTGTGTGTCTCTTAGACTGTCTCCCCTCGTAGCCTCCCCTTCCATTCCTGTCCGGAGATCTTACCCCCTTCCGATGCTCTGGCAGCATCTGGGGCGGCTTGGACGCCAGGAGAAGGGGAGCAGGCACCTGAATGCCGGAGTTTATAAGCGTGCAGCCCCGCCTGGGCCTGGGGGGAGTGGATGGGTGGGGTGGGGTGGGAGGCGGCCGAGAGTCTCGCCTTTACAGGCTGGACGCCTGGGTGGCTGAGGGGAGTGGGGGGACGAGGCCTAATAAACGTTTATTGGGCTGAAACTTTGGTCTGCGTCTCCGAGGAGGGATGTCCCCGCCACGGGGGAGAGGCAGGATGGCTGGAGTTGAAAACTGGGGGGCGGGGTGGGGGTCAAAATGCAGAGCGGTGGATTCTGGAGCCTGCAACCTGGAGCTGGGGTCTGGAGTGTAGACACTGGATTCTGGAGTCACACTTCCTTCGCCTGGAGTAGGGTTCCGGATCTTGAATTCTGGACTTGGATCTAGATTCGTCTTCACGCTGGATCTCCAGTTCTTAATTCTGGGGACCCCCCCTCCCGCACCCCCCAGTTCTGGATTCTGGATCTCTGATTTCTGCCGTTGGATTCTGAATCTAGTATCTCCCATTCTGGACCTCTGGTTTTGGATCCAGATACCCGGTTCTAGACCTTGAGGTCTAGACGTCTCCGTTTTGGATTCTGGATCTCTCTGGTGGTCCTGGATTCTGGATCCAGATTTCTGGTTGTGGGCCTCTTGACTTTGGTTCTCCTGTTCTGGATTCTGAGTTTTGGGGTCTGGAGCTGGGGATCCATGACCTGGATTCCAGAGTGTGAATCTTGGAGTAAGTCTTGCCTTCTGGAATTTGGGCCGGGCCTTTGAGTGACGTCTCTGGCTTGGGTTCTAGATCTCTGGACTTTGCACCTAGCGTGCAATCTGTACGTCTGGAGTCTAGCATTTGCAACCTAAGACTTGAAGTCCGAAGTCTTCGCTTCTGCTGCCTGAAGTCTGGAACCTGGAGATTTTTGAATTTTGGAGCCTCGATCCTAGAGGCTAGGTCTAGATCCTGAGATTTCCTGGGCTGATGTTGGAGTGTGAAGTCTGGAGATTCAAATCTGCATGGTATAGTTAAGAGGCTGGAAAAAAAAAAGAAAAGAAAAAGAGGCCAGACATAGACCTGGTTGCCATTATTACCGGACTCCTAAAATCTTGACTCTGGAGCATAAATTCAACGATCTGGAGACTGGAGTCTTTACTCTGGATCCTGCAGTCTTTTTACAAATAATATATTTTATTGATTTTCCACAGAGAGAAAGAGAGAAGGATAGAGAGTTAGAAACATCGATGAGAGAGAAACATGGATCAGCTGCCTTCTGCACACTCCCCACTGGGTATATGCCTGCAACCAAGGCACATGCCCCTGACCGGAATCGAACCTGGGACCCTTGAGTCCCCAGGCCAACACTCTATCCACTGAGCCAAACAGGCCAGGGCATGGATCCTGCAGTCTTGATGCTGGTTCTGAGGCTTGAAATCTGGATTCTGCTCTCCGGAGGCTCGGAGATCATCCCTAAGATGACATTCCTCCCAATTTACATTCCTCCTGGAGGCCCCTTCCCATGCCTCAGGCCTCAAGAGGGCCCTGGGCCGTGGCTGGGTCTCTCCTGCCTTGTGTGAGGCACAGAGCGCCGAGGGAGGCCTGACCCCAGAGCACACCCTGACATTACAAGCACGGCCCCTCCCCGAGTCTGGAAAGCCACCCCCTTTATGGGAAGGGGATGCAATCCATCTGGGGGCTGGGTGTGTAGGAGGTCAGTGGCCAGTGTCTAGGGGGCCCTGACCCTCGACTTCCCCGCAGACCATATGGGAGATGGATGGCAGCTGGACCCCCATAAGCAGAGTCCAATGGCTGGCTCGCCGGGAGGGCACTCTGCCTGGCTCCCAGCATGGTGACGTCTGCATCCCCCCTCCCTCCCATCCTGGCCGGTCAGACCTGGGTGATGGGTGGCATTTACCCACATGTCCTTCACCTTAACCGCAGCCCGCGTCTCGCCCTGTACCCTGCTCCTCCTCCTCCTCGCCGGAGTCTCTCATCAACTCGTGGTTCAACCCCCAGCCACACAGGTCTCCTCCGTTTGACCCTGAATGCCTGCCCTGGGCGGCCACCTGGTCCTGGTTCTCTTTCCCCAAACCGGCCTCCTCCCACGCTCCCCATCTTAGGGGCAGCCCCACCGTCCCCCTAGCCAGGTGGTGATCTCTGCTCCCGTCCTTCCAGCCCAGATGTCCCCGGTCTGGCTCCTCCCTGTCCCTGCCTCTCTCTGCCTCCTTCTCTCCCCTCTGTCCCCCTGGGCTTGGCTGCAGCTCAAGGGTCCCCCTATGCTAAGGCGACCAGATTTTAACATTGGTAAAGCGGGACACCATTGATTAAAAATTTGGTCTCTATGGAGCAACAAAAATTTTCATAGAACACAAAAATGGTATTGTAATATATATATTTTTAAAAAATTTCAACATAAGTACAATTTACAAATATAATAGAAAAAAAAATTTACGTAGAGTCGTAAGTGTCACTTTCAAGGCCTGCACTAGACTTTATGCCGCCGCTATAAAATATAAATAATACGGGTACCGTCTACTAAATTCAAGAAAATTTACGTATTTATGAAATAAATAAATAAATTACCTAAATTATCTGAATAGCTGATTTGTAATGACATCACTTGTTTAACTAGCTCACTAGCACGCAGTACGACGTGTATTGTCTGAGAGACAGCTACACAATGTTTTCATCCTTGCCAACCTCCAAAGATGCCACTGTTCATTACGTCCAAACAATGGTGGCCGGATTCTAACACCTGATCAACAATGCGAACTTTGATAAGCAGTTCTCGGCAATCAGTTCTCAACAATGATTTGTTGTTATTCAAGTTTAACATTATAAAATTAACACAAACAATATAAAACTCATATCCTGGCTAAATAGCCACATGGCCGCCGAAAATCGTATATTCCCTTCCCATTCTCCCGCCGTTCCCTCGTGCATTCTTTCCAAAAATGGGGACTTTTTTTTTTTTTTTTAATGCCCTGGGACGGGGGACAAATTGTTAAAAATCAGCGGGATGTCTGGTCACCTTACCCAATGCCCTTGAACCCCCACCGCAGCCTCCTCCCGACCTCCCACCTTCCAGTGCATTCCCTCCCTCCGTCACCAGGTGGCCCCAGAGGGCTGTCTGCACCCAGACCTGCCCGGTCCCTCACCTGCTCACAGCCCCTCGGACTCCTCCCTGCATCGGACAGGTCATTTGAGGTCAGCCTGGCCTTTGAGGTCCTCTGAGGTCCCCCCCTGGAGGGGCCTGGGGGCCCGGACTCCCCGGGCAGGCAGAGGGAGGAGCGGTGAGGAACCTCTCCTGCCTGCTTCCCAGGCTGCTCTGGGGTCCCACCGCCTCTCTGAGGTGGGGACCTGGGACGCCTGCCCAGCACCGCGTGTGTCAGAACCGAGTTCCTAAAGAGCAAAGACCAAGGTTGCTGATGCTTGCTGTTTGCAGGCTGAGCTGAAGCAGCGCAGGGGGCTGAGCGGCCTGCTCGCGGGCTCCCTCTGGCGTCCGTGCGGCGCAGCTGCAGAGGCGAGGGGAGGCAGTGGGCTCCATCCGGGAGCCAGTCCATGGCAATGACCAGGTTGGTAGCAGGGAGGCAGGGAGAGGGGTCTCCTTCTCATTCCTTTGAAGTGAGCCAGCAGAGCCTGCTGACCCAGCACAGGCAGCAGCGAGGCGCCAAGGACAATCCTGTTTTGACCTGAGTAGCTGAGTAGTTACACTCTGCTCCCCAGCCTACCCCATCGCACTCATAGGGGTGACCCCCTCCCACCCATTCCCGCCAAGGCCACCGGAGCCGAGGATGTTCTCTGACCTGTTCCTCTTTCACCCCGGGGCTCCCTGTCCTCCAGTCCCTCAGCCTCCCTCCCTCTGCTGTCCCCAGTATAAACATCTGTATTAATTTCCCATGGCTGCTTTGTGAAAGGACCACACACCTACCAGCTTAAAAACAGCTCCTATCTATTCTCTCCTGGAAGCCAAAGTCCGAAGTGAGTCTCAAAAACAAAAAAGAAGTCAGTCTCGCTGGGCCTAGGCAATGTGGCTCCGCAGTTGAGTGTCGACCGGTGAACCAAGAGGTGACAAGCCCGGGTTTGCAGGCTCAGTCCTCGGTGGTGGGGGTGGGGGTGGGGGGTGTACAGGAAGTAGCAGGGATCGATGCTGATGTTTCTCCCTCATTGATATTTCTATCTCCCTCTCCCTCTCCCTCTATAAAAAACAAACAAAAAATAAATAAAAAAATCAATAAACACATCTTGGTTACTTAATGGAGTAGGTCCCAACACCTTGCTATTAAAAAAAAAAAAGTTACTTGTCCTAACCGGTTTGGCTCAGTGGATAGAGCGTCGGTCCTCAGACTGAAGGGTCCCAGGTTCGATTCCTGTCAAGGGCATGTACGTTGGTTGTGGGCACATCCCCAGTGGGGGGTGTGCAGGAGGCAGCTGATCGATGTTTCTCTCTCACTCACGTTTTAGCTCTCTATCCCTCTCCCCACCTCTCTGTAAAAAAAATAATAAAATATATTAAGAAAAGAAAAGCTAGTCTCACTGGGCTGTCCATCGGGAAGCTCTAGGGAGAATCCATTCTCTGAACGCACAATAATCCGGCCACTCAGTGTATGTCCTACATAATAAAAGGCTAATATGCAAATTGTCTCCTCGACCAGGAGTTTGACTAACAGGCGGGCTGGCCAACTGCCCATGTCCCCTCCCCCTGGCCAGGCTGGCCAGACCCCACCCATGCACAAATTAATGCACCAGGCCTCTAAAATACATATCTATATCTATATCTATATCTATATCTATATCCACATCCACATCCATATCTATATCTATATCTATATCTATATCTATATCTATATCTATATCTATATCTATATCTATATCTATAATATCTATATCTATATCTATATCTATATCTATATCTATATCTATATCTATCTATATCTATATCTATAATATATCTATATCTATATCTATATCTATATATCTATATCTACATCTACATCTACATCTATATCTATATCTATATCTATATCTATATCTATATCTATATCATAT